CCAGTGACCGACCTCGTGGGTAGTCGTAATCCTATCATTGACCGCCCGAGCAACTATCATGCACCCATCAGACCTCACGTCGTCTTCCGACATCTTATTGTCGTCGTGAGTTGTGATGTGACTGATGTCTATAGGCCTTCCTCTGTTGTCAAGAAAAATGGTGGGGAAGGAACATGTACCGACGGTATAGGTGTTTCCCCGCTCATTGTCTATAGATGATATGTAATAAAGATTCAAGTCTGCGTATCCTCCTCCGCGCAACTCGTTCTTCATTGCTTGTTCGTCTTTGAGGGTAGCCCAGTCCTGATTTTCCGTATAGCTAATATCAGTAAGGGTAAATGAGATTCCAGAACCGCTAAAATGTCTATTCATATCTTCTATTTCTTTTATAATATGACTCTGCTATCATATAGTTTAGTAAACAATAGTGTACGATCCAATGAAACTTAAAACGTACCTCAACAAAACCGCCTCGGGGAGTTTTATCATAGTATACAACATGAGCGAAAACCCTAAAGTTGAAATTCTGTTGTGTTTGGCGTCGTGCAAGGGAAGAATTAGAGGCTTGTAGAGACTTGGAAAATTGTAGAAACTCTGGGCTTGGCTCTTCTTCTGCGCACTCAGCTAGTGCTTCATTATTGTGTGTATGTATTGCGCTTGTTTTGACAATATTTGCCATTAGTATGACAATTACAAAAGGAAGAAAATACATGGTAGAAATAAATATTTGCCAGATACTTATCGAGAGGTGCACAAATTGACAAGGTACGTGAAAAGTTTTCACTGAAAACGAATGGTAAATGTCTTGAAAGGCTCAAATCCGCATATTTATAACTTAGGGACCTTTTTTTTTGTAATGAAAGCGCGCATTTATGCTATTTTCTTTCTTAGACACGTGCGGGATAGATCAAATTGCATGATCTTTAATTTTAAGTCTACGTGAGGTGATCCTGCACAAATTAGCACCTATTTTTGTTATCGTAGATATTATTAAGCTAGTATGGATTTCACCACGAGTCAAGCATACAGTACATCCCATGCTTTGATGGCTACCCGTAACAAAGCAGGGGGGTATATAGCCAATCAATTATAACATAGCGAAAATGTTCATGCAAGCCTAATTTCCCATAGACTTGTTGAGCTCTTCCGAAGACGGATGCCCTCCCGGTAATAAAGTTAATATTATAAGCCCAGATGCACATCTTTCTTACTAATGCAAACTCCACACCTTCCTCGACAAATTACTACAAAACAGTTGGATGATATTGTCTCTATTAATTTGAACACGCAACCGTTTTGCCATCAGGGTAGCAAGAGGAGCAAGCAGATAGTCATGAATAAGAATTACACCCGCGCGACGCGACTATAACCCTACCATGAAAGGCTCAGCTCAGTTGTGTATAAATCTTAGTAATTTTAATATTCATATTATAGCCAAAGCCAGCATATAGTAGAAGACAGACTCTATTAAAACGCACCCAACTCTCAACCCGCAAGCACCCGACCCGCTTTCAGCCACATCCAGCCACAATAATACCCGGTATCGCCCGACTGGAGCGATTCTCAGCCAATAATGTCACTCCATTTCAGCCAGGTCAACTCTTAAGTACAGCTCTCAAGTACGGTGGCAATTTTGCAGCAACTGCAGAACTCGTTAATAGGAAAAGGGACACAGAGACACGAAGAAACTAAGGAGTTCAATTCTCTTATAGTAGAGCAAGGCTCAGATTACATAAGGTCGTTGCTGTAAAAGGAAATGGGACAACATAAGGTCAGGAGGAGAGCATTTCAGCCCCCATTAGATAAAGAAATCTGCAGAAGAACTCTATAATAACTAAAGGTCTCACACTTTAACACATTATTCGAAAAGGTTGGCTAGATTTCTTATCCTGAATTGCTCACACAGGCGATGTCGGATGCAGTGTGGCTGAAAGTGGGGGGAGTGCGTGATTGAGAGTTGGGTGCGTTTTAATAGAGTCTGTCTAGTAGAAAGGTCAGCAGGCGTATACTCGCGAGGAGTCATCGCTCGGAGTGAGCAAAATCGAGTAATTAAGAATGCTCAGAATTGTCACCAGCAAGCCAGGACAATGATCGCTGCTGTACCAAATCCCTCGCGTCTGTACCGAGTAATAACTTTGCTTGGCATGTCCGACTTGCAGTTCAACACTTCGCTCCACACTGCTCCTCAAGAGTATGACTTTGGGGGATTGCGTCACCCCAACTCCACACCCTTACTTTTCTGCTTCAAGATACCGAACCATCCCCGGGTCACCTGGGGGCTTTCCATATTAGCGCCGGCTAAGAGAGAAAGGCCGACAATGTTCTGACTATAACTAGTTGACTATCGCATTGTCTACAGATTGTGAACTGCAATAAGCTCAACATTGCTAATGTAAAAGGGGGATAATAGATCGGTTTGATTGACAAAGTGTCCGTTGTGGTGATAAAGCATCACCCTTGGTTGGTGCGAGTTCTATGAGGTGCCAATGAAATGGGGCGTGGCACGAGTAATAATTTTTGACCTAAATATCGGCACAACCCTGGTAGTAAATTAAGTGGAGCATCGTGAAATCTAACACGGGATTCAGGGGCAGGGGGTAGATTTTTGTTCCACGAAGAGGTAGGTGACATTTCCGGTTTTGTCAAAACTACCCGAAAGGGAATATTAGGTGCCGCCTCAAAGTTCTGATTCGGCGATTGTCGGCCGTCGAAAATGCCGGTTTCCGTTTGCTTAGACGAGTACTCGTGCCACGCCCCACTTTAATTAGACTACATCCCACACCGTGAAACGCCAAAGGCCGCAGCTACAAGTCGCTACACGCATAAGCTTGGCAGCCTTCTATCATGAATTTGCAGAATCTAACCTTGCAGGGATAAATTACCTAGAGCTACATTACGCTTCAGATGTGAAGCCGGAAATGCCGAAAGTGTTCCAGGTTCACCACTGGTAGCCTTAGAATCATTATTAGTGCCAATAAGCAGGTAGTCTAGGCATAAAGTAGGCATGCGCCATCCTTGGAGGGAGCGCGGAGGATTTGGCGAGCAAAATGAATTTAGAGTCTTGGATGATTAGTCCGGGGTCACGAATGTGGCAACACATGGTGAATGCATAGATGAATTGAAGGCCAGGGTGGCGATCAACTCAA